GGATTTGGGAGGAATTGTTGGAAATGTGCCACATAAACAATTGCTATGATTTCTGGTTTACAACATTGTGGGTTACTACATATTAGTGTTCACCTAAAATTAGGAATTTCAAGTGCAGAAATGAAAGTGTATTTGGTTTTAAGTTGTATTGATACTGGAGTTGAACTCAGGACATTGCACTTGCCATCAGGCACTTATGCTGCTGAACTATGTTCCCAGCCTTAACAGTGTGTTTGGGATCAAGTCTCAAACTCTGTGTATGATTATTTGGCACATTTTTCTCCCTTTTACCCTTCCTGTGGGAATATTTTAATATAACTTTATGTTATTCTTATCAACATGAGTAAACTGGAAAATTTTAAACAATATTTGCATCATTATCAAATTATCTTCTTCCTCACCAGGTACCTTTGTTTGGTGTTATTCTCCTGGGCTACTTGGTATGGCTTTTATATATAGAAAACTGTGTGGCCACTATTTACACTTCTCAGTTCATTTTCTCATAAATAAGGACTAAAAAACAGACTGATTTTTTCACTCCTGATATCGTATAAAGATTTTAACTTGATTTCATTACATATGACCATAGTTGGAAAAAATGAAGATTTTTCACTTTTCAGCTCCTCTGGGGCAGAGCCATCCCCTATAAGGAACCCTCATTTTTTCAGCTAACTTGAATATATGGTCTGAGTGCATGAATCAATGCACGTGAATAGTCTCTATCCAGTTTCTGTTTTTGTGATTTTGTATCTTCACAGGAAAAGAGGGGCTGCTCTAGAGCAAACCACATTCTTCTGCTGATTGGTGTATCAGAGTATTTAGGGTATTATATAGAACTATTGTGTGCTTTAAGTTCTTTAAGGACATTTTTCTTGACAATCATCTCTGATAATCTAAAAATGTTGTAAATGCATGTTTTGCTCTCGTGAATGACATTAGGGATGCCTGTATCCCATCACTTCTCAGTACCTCTGCCATGCCTTTACCATCTGTCATGGATTTGCTTCTTAGATTAGGTGGCCTACAGAAATCAGCTGTAACTCTATTTTCTGCTTGTTGGGGACTAATTCCTTCTACAACAAAGCAACTTAAATTTAAAGCTATACCTAAAATATGGAAGAGTGTATTGTTTTTAAGACATGAGTTGGTACTAAACTTCCAGACTAATGTGATGCTATCATAACTAGAACATTAGAAATCATAAAATATCAAATATGTTTTCTTTTTTAAAAAGAAAATGTGGAAGTGGGGCACAGTGAGGGCATGAACATTACACAAGAGCTAATGAGTCTAAAGTCCACCCTTTGGCTGTGTCATATCTCTTTCATAAATGTGGTGCATGCTCTGATATATCTATTTCATGTACTGTAACTTTTAATCCTGCTAGAAAGCTGTTTCATAAGAAGATGAGGAAGAGAAAAGTATAGGTGCTCCTTTGAATGACTCCTACATGACTCACGAATTGTGATTGTGTCCTCTGGACATGAATTTGTACACATTTGTGGTTGGAGGTAGCTACTTGAGGAAATCATTTGCTCCAAAAGTTGGTTATTAGTTGAGTCTAAGCTCTATTTTATACAACACTTAAAACCTTTCATTATACAGGATCCACATGCTTCAAAAGATAAGCTGCTTTCATCTTGTCCAAAGTTCAGGGCACTGTGAAGAATGGGATATCCAGGCAGAAGCCAGCCTCGAATGAGGCTGTAGAGTTGGATCCCCATCGCTGAGTAGCTTTGTTTGATCCTGATATTAAGACACTTGGAAGAGAATCTCATCTCAAAGTTACTAAAAAATAACTACACAGTATGAAGCCAGTGTCACGACATGGCAGAAAGTTCTTCCCTCGAACGAAATGAGACTCATCCTACTTTTATGTTTAACTCAACATAGTTTTTTAAAGCCCACAATTTTCTCTCTATGTTGTACAGTTGATATGCAGTGTTCTGGCTTGTGATGTACTACAGCAACTAGGAAAGATACAGAAGATTTAAATATCTATATAGAAACATACATAATTGCATTAGACAGCCAAAATATCAAAGATGAGACTTCTGGGAGCGGGGCCCTGGAGGGCTGACGCGGCTGTAGGACAGGGAGAGCACGTTAGTGAACGTTGTTTACAGGAGGGGCTCGGAAGCTGGAAAATGCTGCTGGTGATGACAGTGATGCCCCCTCTCTATTATCCTGTGTTCTTATTAGTACACATGTATAGTCCATAACGTTTTGATTCCTTGTGGGGAGTCGCTATGTGCACATAATATGTCTTCATTTCTTTTTCCTTTCCTTTTCCATCTTTCTACCTCCCCTTGACCTCTTTCCTTTCTTTGTATGTTTTTAGTATGCAATGTTTATATCTATAGTGGGTACATATAGGTATTACATTTAATTCCTTCGTTCCTCCTTTCTCCCTCTCCATCCTCCAGCTTTTGATTCTCTTCCTCTTTGAGAAAAGGTGTCTCCTTCCCCTTTTCACTGGTCGCTTGCCTGGCTGCTTGACATGAACACCAAAAAGTGCATATTGTCTATGAGGACACCGGTTTTCAATGAGTTTATACCATTTACTGGAAGAACTCTAATGATTGCATAATGCTTGTGATTCACATGCCACAAATTTATAAAACATTTGATATATGAAAATTAATAACCTGAAAAAATAACTGGTTGGATTTTTCAATCACACTTCCGAAGAACCTGGATAGCTGTGCTTAAACTTCTGGGAAGACAGAAGGAATCTCCTACTTCCATTTATAGCAGCGTTTCTCTTCCATTTGCAGCAAAGAGGTATTGTGTCTCCTGCCTAAACAGTTGATGCGTTTGAGAGAGATAACAGTCACAGTATTTCAGTGTGAGCAAATTTTACCAAAAGCATGTTTTAATAGTGGAAGATATAGTAGAAGTCCACACAGTGGACTTGCAAACAGTGAGAACAGGACACACCATGAACATGACAGAAGGGGGCATCTCAGAGGCAGGAGGCTGAGGTCTCTAGAGAAGAGGGATGATTCTATGCAGTGAAGGCTGATGTAAAGTAGTCTCGAATAACAGGTACATAATAACATAAGGTGCAAGAAAAAAGTGAAGTTACTCTACATTTGTCACTTTTTAGATTTTTGTTTTTATTTTTTGAGACAAAGTCTGCCTATATAATCCAGTCTGCTCTCAAACTCATGGCAAGCCTTCTGCCCCAGCCTCTCAAGAGTTGAGATTACAGATGGGCATCACCACACCCAGCTGTATTTGTCAGTTTTTTGCTATTCTTAAACTACAGTTTTAAGTCTCAGATTAGTTTATATAAAGAATAAGAGTTATGTACCACTTTGCTCGTTCTTCAGGCAGATGTAAATCATATATTTGTTGAACAAGTGTTCGTTAGTTAGGATCTGTCTAAAAGTACATCCCATGGGAAATAATCAATGTTAACATTTGTGCTAAATATACTTTTTTAAAAAACCATCTTTTGAAATGGCCTTGGCCTTTGTTGGTGATAATCTTTGGCTGTAACCATATATCTTTTTGTAACTTCTCAAAGTTAAAATGATTCTTACTGTACTCTACATAGGATAGAGGAGTGACAGATACAGGTTGGGAATAGTTACCAAGTCATGAAGTTGAGGCTGTATTACAGAAACACCAGCGATGCTTCAAACTCCATCTGATTGTGGAGGACTACACTCAACAGATCATAAGTGATATTTTAATTAAAGAAAAAAATAGTGGCTGAAGTTCATTATTTGAACTCTCTGATTTTCACGAAACAAGTAGGACAATGAGTCTAGAAGTTTCATTAGAAGCAAGCTGTGTTTGCTGGGGGTGAGGAAGCAGGCTGGACTTCCTCTTTTGAATCTGACAAAGTGCCTATGTTTTCTTAGATTTCCCAGAAGCAAAGAGGCAACACTGGAAAAAGGAAGTTAAACGACAATGTGCTCAATGTGAAAGAAACAGAACTTTATCACATGACCCTAATTTTTCCAAATAAAATGCTCCCTGCTTTGTCCTGGTCTCCAATTTTTCAGATAAATCCATCCCCAGGAGACAATATCACCAGTTAATAAAATGTGCTTTCTTTTTCTTTGGCTGTATTTTACCAAAATGAGTGACTCAGTTCCTCAGGAAGGATTGCTACTAGTATTACACTATCTGATGATGATGGGAACCCCGTCCTGATTGTTCTTCGGGGACCAGCAGTTGGTGAGCTAAACAGTGATCTCATGTTTGATCATGCAGTCTCCTGGACTCAGTGAGAGGCATCAGTGCAGATGTTTTTTTTTTTAATTTTATTTAAGGAGAAAAAAAAAAGCAGAGAAAGGATACAAGTTATACAGATTTACAGAAATAAATGAACAGTAGGAAATCACTAGTTAATGGATTACATATTGTCATCTTAGAAATAATTGTTCAAGTCACAAAATTAAAGCTTGTAAAGTGGACATTCCAACAATGATCAGCGCAGATGTTAGCGAGCTGTCCACTTACTGAGCCTCTTTTGGGTTTTGCTTTTTTTGCCATAGGGAGTTAACTGAGACTTGGAATATTTTTTGACACTTTTTGTTTCTACTGTAAAAAAAACTATATATATATATATATATATATATATATATCCTTTAATTAAATGTAAGAGCAGAAAGAAGATAGGAAATTACTGATGATCATTACTCCTATTTATGAACATCATTTTTTATTTTCTCTTGGGTTTGAATCACATTTCAACATTAGTACATTATTAATTTGGGAGGTTTGAAATACCTATACAGGAAAGCTTTTGGTTTTTAATCAGTACCAAACTTGGTATTCCTAAATAGTTACTTAAGCACAAAGTATTTTACTTGAGTTAAACTTTAACCAGGCCAAGTGTCTAGTTTATGTGCTATACAAACCTTGTGGAATAATTTGTATCAGCAAATGCCACAAACCCTGAATTGTTGGAGCCTGTATTGTGTTTCATTCAAACATAACTCTACAGTGTTTTCTTTTTCCAAGTATTTCAGACGCATTTTTCATATTTGAAAGCTCTGCATATTACTCTAGAAACCTCTGTATCTAAACTATGAGACATAGAAAAGGAATGACATCATGGAGCTTTGTGTTTGGTTACCGAGGAGCTCCGTGGTGAGTCACGCAGTCCTGTGACCTGCCAGGCACCTTTCCAGTCCCAGGCGGGCGAGATTCTTGACAACACAACCTGCCGTTGTTTGAAGAGCAGATTTCAACAGCGACCTGTACACTCGGTAATAGTAGGCTTTGTGGGGAACAAAATTTGTTCCTATTCCTGCTGAATTAACAAAACACTGGTGATGAGATAACACTTAGTAAGGCTGACTCACTTCCTCCTTTCCAGATGAAAGGAGTTGTCCAAGAAATGACTATCTCACAGGGAAATAATGTTCCCTGCAGGTAATTACGTGTGTGTGTTTTAAAACAAGCCTGACTATAACATTGGCTTTTTAGTAGTTAGCTATATTAAAGAGTCAATTTTATTCTGAAATAATATAAAGTAAAAGCCAACTCTATTTTCATCCTTAAATATGAGAGAGGTACAGATTTCACAAGTCATTCAGAAGAAATTGTTACATTGTGTAAGCAGGTAACTGGGTGATTGAGTATTTCCAATTTATTGAATTAATGTAGGCTTTCCTTACTCTTGAGCAAAGCAGGTCTCACTGGTGATGCCACAGCAGTTCCTCCCTGAATCTCTACTGGATGGTCTCTTCTTTCCTATCAGGTCAGCTGGAGAAGGGTGCAAGGGAAGGGTGAAGTGGGGGATGTTGGAATAGGGGTGGGGCTTGTTGTGTACTCATCACACCCCTAGAAGCTGGCAACAGTAGTTACACGAGACTGGGGGACTTTCAGCCTCCTCACTTTGGCTTGAACTGACTCAGCAAGACCTGTCCTTCGGAAGATGGGGCTGTCCTTATTCAGGGAGCCCTCCCAGGAACACGACAAGGAACCATGGAATCACTACCTTCCTGGCCTGTTGTAAACCTCTGCACTTTGCAACTGGGCTGAGTTCCTCAAGGTTAATTTGAAACATATTTATTTTAAAAAAGAATGAAAATGTCTTATGTCCATGTCCCAACTTCCCATGATAAATACAACAATATTCATGTACTGCACATGTGTATAGATAAAAATAATAGTCACAGGGGCACCTGCCTGGCAAGTGCAAGGCTGTGAGTTCCATCCCCAGTACCAAAAAAAAAAAAAAAAAAAAAAAAAAATAGTAGTCACACAAATAAAAAATACAGGTGTCAAATATGTTCAGAGAAAACAAGCCAACACTTTCTCCAGATCATCACCAAACTTCTAGTTTTTTTTTTTTTTTTCTAGACTCACTTTTAAGGAGATTTTATAAAACTGGAAATAGGCTCCTTTAAATAGGAATTTAAAAATTTCGTACATTTATGTTGTTATTGTCCTCAATTACCTCTTTGTCTAGTTGGTATGCCTGCTTCTGAATTCTCTTGTAATTTTCATAGTTGTACATTTTTTTTTAAAGTTAGGAAATCACAAATTGTATAACATGTTAAACTAAGCATATTTTATCATAGCCTAACCTTTTCTGGTGTTTTGGTAAGGCCATTTGCTTGTTTGGGGTTGCTAATAGGACTACGTGACCTGTTGAGTGATTACCTCTGGGACCAGTTTGTTTACTTCAAGGGAAAAATTCACTGAACAGCCATCAGCTACATTCCAGAACATTAGCCAACCACTCTGCAAATGCACACAGTGTGGGTCTAGCACTGTCTGCCACCACTCTTGGAGAAGCATCATACAGAAGGGACAAAGATTTGCTTCCAGATGCCACTGTGGGCTCTGAAAGCAGGAACTTCAGTGAGCGGCTCTTTCCTGCTTTTGGACTACTAATAAAAGGCCACTGGAAGTTTTAGTCTCTGGAAATTCATGGGACTCTACTCTTTCAAGAAGGTACTTTTGTACTTTGTACTTGATTACCAGAGAACTTCAGTTTGAAGATTATGTTCCAGGACAATGTTTGAAACTGCAAACTGCAGGGCTCAGAATATATTTATCACTCTGTGTTGTTCTGCTCCACTTGCAAGTCATGAGCCAAAGGTACAGTTCCATATTTAGACTCTGACAGCCTCATGGGTCACCTGTTAGAACAGCAGTTAGGACTCCAGGTAGATTTGCTCTCTTTCCGCCTCCCTTGTCCTCACTTGGATCTGCTTTACAAGGTGGGCTTTTGTGTGCGACTGCATGTTAGACGTAAATACAGCCCTTTAAAAGTCACTTAAAAGGAGCCCTGGTGGAAAAGACGCTCATGTGGCCTCCCCTGGGCTCTCAGAGGGTCTTTGAGGCAGGACGCCAGAGTTGTGCATAGCCAGCCCACGTATGTGTTCCCCTGGGCTTCTCCTAGTGGTGTCCCCTTATAGCACAGATCCCTGACCCAAAGTCTTGTTTTGGGGTCAAGTATACCGTGATAGGATAGAATCTCCTGCTGCATGCCAAGTAGCTGTCACTGGGTGGTTGCGTTCTAGGATTTGGGTTACCTGTGTCATCATGAGACTTGAATTCTCACTTCAGAACATCATTTGAATTAAACCTGGGGGTCTGATAGCAGCGGTTGCCACTGATGACATGCTGAGCCATGCTACATGATTTACATGCAACATCTTTAATTCTTGCAGCAGCTCTGAGCTTTAGATGCTGCTGATTCTCTAATGCACGAGGGGAATGTGACTTAGTCATCAAGGTGGTCTGTCCAGATTCCTATAGTTAGAAACCAACAGGTCAGAATCAGTCTCCACTCTAGGCATGGCAGCACATGCCTGTGATCCCAGCACTCAAGAGGCTAAGACAGGAGGATTGCTGTGCATCCAAGGCCAGCCTGCACTACACAAGCTGAATTGCATAGCAAGACTTTGGCTCAAAACAAAACAAAGCAAAGCAAAATAGAACAAAACAAACAAACAAAACAACAGAGTCTCTCTGGTCTCAGGCTGCTGTAACATAATATTGTAGATTGCTGGGTTTAGCAACACGTATTGACTTCTCAAAATTCTGGAGGCTGAGATCTGAGAAGAGGGTGCTGTATGACTGGTTTCCAGTGAAGTTTTTCTTCCTGGTTTGCAGATAGCACCTTCTTACCAGGTTCTTGCATGATCCAGAAATCAGGACATGCTCTCTTGCATGTCTTCTGATAAGGACACTGACCCCATTATCTCTCCCTGATCAGTTCATCTGAATCTAAGCACTTCTCGAAGCCACACCCCAGAGTTCCATCATGCTGGAAATTATGGCTTCAACATATGAATTTGTGTGTGGGGAGGTAGATTCAGCCCATACCCCTTAGGTTTCCAAATTTGTGCTTTAGCGGTAGAGCTTCACTGCCTCATACAGCATAGGGAATCTCATCACAGTGTGACATCCCGCCCTTGAGGTGAGCACAGCCTCCTATTATGCAGGAGAAAGAGGGCATCGCCCACAAGTGACCGCACCTGCCAGCAGTCACTTCTTCCTCCCAAACCTTCACGTTTGTGATTCAAGAATTTGTTTCTTTTCCTGTCCAGACGCAGAAGCTTTCCTCTTCCAAAGAGCCAAGAGGACTCGCTGGTCTTGCTCTGGCCTTCTTGGTGGCTTCTGGGTGCTCTGTGCACACAAACTGTCAGCTCTCCGCTGGACGGTTTCCATGCTGCCCATGTCAGGTTGGCTGTGCTCGAAGCCCCTCCTTGTCCTCCCAGAACCTCCATGCTGTGGATTGTGATATTTGAAAGAATCACACTCTTGTTTCTGGCAATTCCAACCCTAGTCTCATTTTCACCTTTTTTTTTTTTTAAACAAATATCTACGATAGAGGCCGGGGATTTAGCCCTGTGGCACAAGCACCTGCCTGGCAAGTATGAGGTTGCACTTTTTGGTACTGGTCATGCCCAGTACCAAAAAAAAAAAAAAAATCTCAGGAGGCATTAGTGCTTCGTCGTTGGACACAGTTGGCATAGGGCTGCCTGAACACAACATTTTAATTAAACAGACAAGGTCACTTAAATGTAAGAGCCAAATAAGGTTTCTGGCACCTATTTCTTTCAACAGTGGTTGATAACCTCCTTCCAAATGCCAGGCCATCCATCACAGACACCTGGCTTACAGTATGCATCTCTGCTTTCTGGGGTTTGCATTTTAGTGGGGAGATAAAAGGGAAGGAAACCTCCTGTTTTCAGCATATATATCTTTTATGTAAACATATTAAAAATCAGTAACAGCAATAAAGGTTTTATTTTCTTTTTTTGAGACAGGGTTTCACTATGTAGTGCAGGCTGGGCTTGAACTCACTTTGTAGGTTGGTCTAGTCTCTAACTTGCAACAATCCTCCAGCATCAGCCTCCTGATTGCTAGGATTACAGGTGTGCACCCCCTTGCTCAACAATTTCTAGAGACTCTTGACTATCAGTTAACAACGCAGTGTTGGAAACCATGTGTGTGATCTTAGAGATTTTAGCCCCTATTTATTATTTGTCATTTTCTTTTCTTTTTTTTTTTTGTCTTTTTCCTTTTTATCAGTACCAGGGATCGAACTCATGACTGCGTACTTCCAAGGCAGGCGCTTATGCCGCTGAGCTAAATCCCCAGCCCCTACTTGTCATTTTCAATTGTTTGTATGAGAGCCAGAGCCTGTGGAGTGAACTTGAGCAGATACCCGGGGTGGAGCCCTGGAATGGGACCCGGGCATGCTGCTCCCTGCAGCACACACATGGCGATATGGGCTGTGGTCTCTCACAGGCCTACATGACATGCACACTAAGAAGCAGGCTTTCCCACCCTACAATTCAGCATGCTATGTTGGCTCAGTTCTCTCCTAACTTCATCCAGGCTCTGGGATGTGCTGGGGACTGTACGCATCCCTCCAAAGCACGTTCTGGAACTCTGACTCCTATAGGTCAGGGCGGTCAGAAAGGACTAGGGTCCCTGTAAGAAGGGAAAGAGACCTCAGGACTTGCTCTCTCCCTTGGGTACAGTGGAAAGGACAACTGAAGACACACTCAAGGATAGAAGTCATCCCAGACATTTACTCTGCTGGCCACTTGATCTTGGACTGTGAGAAAATTAATTTCTATTGTATGAGCCATCAGCTGGTGCTGTTTTGTTGTGGTGTCTCAGACCATGACGGGGCCTGTTCAACCGACTGCCCAAGGAGCCCACAGATGGTCACAGCGTTGGCTCCTTGTGGGGACCCTGCCAGCTTTGCCTCATTTTTCCTGAAGCTTGCTTGGGTTTTCAATTTTCTTCACTGTGAATAGTGTTTACTCCCTGACTTGATTAGAAGCTCCTTGAAGTTAGAACTCTAATCATATACATACTTATTTCTACATCTTCTAGATACTTGCCAAATTACTAGCCGAGTTGCACCTAATATGCTGAAATAGTCTGTTTTTGTTTTGGCTTCAGAATTGGCAAAGAAAATGGAAAGAATTATGCATAAAATCTTGGCTATTTTGAGATATGAGAGTTTTGTTTATTCTATATCTGGAATAATCCAGTTAATTATCTCAGTTGCTGCCCTCCAGCTTGCATATTAGGATAAAATGGGGGCACTAACCTTCCAATTCTACAAAAGGTTCTTTTTAGTTTATCTTTAACTGAAGGTGTTTGTCAACCTAGAGTTTGAGTCCCATTGACATCTCTGACCAGGTTTTCCTACCATTCTCCTTAATCTTGTCTAGGGAAAGGGAAAAGCGGAACCAAACAGTTGAACCAGAAGTGATTCCTCTCCGCTTACACGCATTCCTTTTTCACCTAGAATAGAATAAATTCAAGACAGAGAGCAGAGTTCTACCCTCAGGCCACACCGTTTAATGTATGGTGGGCTTTTCAATTAATGGCAATATTCTGGACTTGATCAGAAAATAAAGGTCATGTGGACGGACGCCACGAGTGATAAATGCTTTTTTAAATTGTTCTCCTAGAAAGGATATATCTGTCATAAAACAATACAAAATGATTTTTCCTTTGCGTTCCTAACCTAAAGTGACCTCCGAGTTATCAATTTAAGATGCTACGTATAAGTAATGGAATCATGAACTATGTTTTCTGTTAAACTGTAAAAATAATTTTTTGTTCAGACTTATGTATGTGGGAACATTTTGTGCTGATTCCACACTGAGGTCCACAAATTTTTTATCCATGATATTATCTGTCTGTATTTGAATTTTGCAAATACATGTAAAATCTTTTCTGTTGCCATTTTATTGACCTATAATATGTGAGCGGCAAAGGCTATGGATGGTTAAGGAGGGACGTAAACGTCTTGTGGTTGCCATTGACCTGATCCTGTGGGCAAGGTCTCCAGAAGCAAAAGGCAGGAAAAAAACTCTATCATTTCAGCAATTTCACCAATTGTCTCCATCCTCAGTCAATCGAATTTGTCACCTGCAAGATGATAAAGAAGATTGATATTCCAAAGCTTTTGATTGAATTGTTTCTTTTGTTAATTGCTTGAAAAGCACCTGCCACGTCCTCTGTGTTCTTGGGCAATGATTTGCATCTTGACTAGGTTGGAATGCACATAGTGCAAAATGCAGAGCACACGGTCACAGCTGCATTGAGGTCACACAACAGGAAGTTCAGAGGCAGGATTCTGGGTGAATGCAACATCTCAGCCATTTCTGCAGGACCCAGTTTTCTTTGATTTCTGCCCTGTTGTCTTTGCTTCCAGTTTTTATTTTCGGGGTTCTGTTTGGTGGCTGCATCTCAGACAGTCCCAGGTTTAGAATAAAAGGGAAGGTTTTTGCTTTAGTGTCTATAAAGTTTTAGTGATGCAAGGAGAAAAAGTTCTGGAGATCTGATGTACAACAAAGTGCCCAAAGTGAACAATAATTGGATATATACTTAGTATTCGTTAAGTTTTCTTCCTGTGAAGTAGAACACAAAGGGGCAGGAGCAAAGTTTCAACGGTGATAGGTGTGTGTCGTGCCTGATGGGTTTCATAGGTGTATCCATATCCCACACTCATCAAATTATGCACACTGAATGGGTGCTGTTTGTATATCAGCTGTGCCACAACAAAGCTGCTCAGAATGGGGGGAAAAGGGAAAAGAAGGATGAGCATATTTGCTAAGCAACTTAAAAACAATTCAGACAGTGCATTCCTCTCAGGACAATTGCCTACCTCTCCAGACCACTGTGCGCGTGCATGTCTTGCTCCAAAGCAGGCGGAGTGTCACTTTGCAGTCTCCACAGTGAAAGAAACGAAGGAAAGGAAGCAGAGAATGGCAGATCTGCAATACCTGCCACACTGCCTTTGTGAGTGTGATGTGAGAGGCATAGATGGGAGTCAGGTTGGGTTTATCTCATCACTGTGTGGACTTAACCATGCAAATATCCAGTAGGAAAGTCTAATTTTATTGTTACTAGTTTACTGTAGCTAGGAATGAAATGGAGTAAACCATGTAGGGCTCAAATTCTACTGCTCTCACATCCTGGTTGCATGGCCACAGATTCATGCTATAGTTTCCTTATTGTAACAGTGAGCACACACCTTTGATGTATTACTACATGCTATGGTCTGAATATTTCCCTGCAAAACTCACAGGTTGAAACTGAGCTGCAAGGTGACAGTGTGATCTGGAAGGCAGTGCAGGACTAGCAATGAAAGGGAGCTGAGGAGGGCTGAGCAGGCACAATTTATGAGGAATGGACACCAGACACCAGGTCTGCTAGCTCCTTGATTCCTTCAGCCTCCAGAGTGTGAATGATAAATTTCAATTGTCCACAAATTACCCAATCAAAATGTTTTGTCACAGCAGCTGGTAAGCCATAAGACACTGCAGGAAAAGCCCCGTTACAGTTCCCTTCCACATGGAACCTGACAAACGAGACATCAGAGTTCATGAAGAAAAAGCAAACCTCACAGGAAGGGGAAAAGAGCTCCCCATTTATTCGGCAGCTGCACTGGAATGCAGGTGAAGCCCTTCTGACCCTAACCTGCACATGGAGTGCAGCCCTGTGTACAAACCTAAGCTGAGCTTGCAGAAGGCCCACGTGGAAAATCCACCACGTTGTAGCAAATCATAAGCACTGCTAGGTGAAGCCACTGATTTGGAGGCAAGAGGGGACACCTGACTTAAGCACTGGCTGTCCAGGGTGGCCACCAGGATGCCTTGTTAGACAGCGGAGTCCCTGACAAACACAAAAGAATCACTTCAAAGTACCAGTTATTTCCATTATTATGTTATTTTAGTAGTTGTTCAATTGTACAGTATCTATTGAAAAAAATCTCGTCAAGTAGAAAAAACCCCAGATATTTTCTTAGCACCAATAATCTATTTAGAGTTATACACTGTGGAAATTTCTTTAAGGAAATGAAATACTGGCTAACATACTAGAGAATAAACAATCAATACATGTATTATTAAAAGCTACTAATAAATAATAAAGAGGCCTAGACTTATAATACATATCAAATAAACTAGTATTAAAAGAATCAGAAATTATCATAGGTATTTGGAAAAAGTTACTCAGAAAATGTATCTCATGATCACAATCTTGAACAGAGGGAATTATTTCAATAAAGTAATTGCTACTACTACTACTATCAATATTTGATATTTATTAAGGATGTGCTAGGCATAAAAACAAATACTTCGCATCCAGTGTCGGATTTTAACTTTCCTGTGGCAGTGAGGTGTATTTTATTTTATGCTTACTTTACAGATGAGGAAACAGAAAAAGAAAGAAACTGTCCCGATTGGCTCAAGGTCACACTGCTGGTCAGTGGTAGAGCTGGGATTTGACATTGGGTTGCCGGATTTCAGAGCCAACATTTACTCACGTAGAAACTGGTAGACTGGGGCTGGGAATTAGCTTAGCGGCATAAGCACCTGCCTTGCAAGCAGGCGGTCGTTGAGTTCGATCCCTGATACCGATAAAAATGAAAAAGACAAAAAAAAAAAGAAAGAAAGAAAGAAAGAAAGAAACTGGTAGACAAATTAACTGTATTTGTTCTCTACAAAAGTTCATTCTGAAAGTTAGGGGAGAGTTCATTGTTACCACTGTTACAAGCCTAACACAGCCTACATTCTGAAATGTCTTAAGGAAATAGAGTAACAGAAAGGTCTTTTGATGATTAAAGATATATTCTACTGTCCTAAAGCAAAAGAATAAAAATAGCCAGCACACACATGGTATTTACTATCTGCTATGCTCCGATTTCTGTGTGATACATTTTGTACTTGTGTTTTACCTCCTAACAACTAAAGAGAGTAAATTCTATTATATTGCATACTTCATAGGTAATAGAACAAGATATGTGAAGTTAAGCCAATATCCAGGATCACAAACCTGGATGAATCTCAGGTTAAGAATTTGAAATGCAGATGGTCCAGTTCAAAGGATGCACTCTTACCTGCGAGGCTCAACAGCTCCTCAACTTTGTGTGAGTTCTTGCAAAGCAGGAACTCGAGCACCAGTGGAACCAGGAAATAGCAAATGTTCACAGAGGTCAATAATCCCTTCTGGAAGCATGTTGTGTGCAGTGCCATATTTTGTTGTTGTTGTTGTTTTGTTTTTTCACTAACCTTTACAGCAATTCTACAAGCTAGGCACATTGTCAACCCTTGCTAAAATGAGGACTTTGAAGCCCAAAGAGTTTGTGACCGTTGTCCTGTGTGGTGAGGGAGCAGTTCGAACCTTCTGTAAGACTCCTTGTATTTGAGGAAGGGAGCCTTGCTAGCGTAGTTAACAAAAGCCCTACCTGCATGTACTTTGTGGACAGGATTTATTTTAGCTGTCTTACAATGTAAAAACAATGTTTATCAGACGTTTCCTAACATTTTCTTCACATAATCCTAATATTTTCAAATCTTTTAACTGGGTCTGTTGGCATTTCTAAGAGAGCTCTGAAAAACATCCTAGTATTGCCATTTGGTTTTGATTTTCCAATTCTAGGAATCACCTCTTAAATTCCCGCATGGAAGGTGAATAAGCATTCAGAAATTACACTTGCTGTATTTTTCTCTCCTGCCCATTGTTTTCCCTACAGTTAATAAGAATATTACTGCTTCTAGTTTGCTTCCTTTCCTGTGGTTGGTGTCTCCTCTTGAAAGGGTCAGCCGTGTTAGAGATGCTGCTGGTGCGCATCTTCCTGCGGAAATCTCTGCCACTTGCTCCACTCTGCACTGCTCATCCCCAGGATCTTCCTAAAAATTTCCCCGTCATTCCCATGGTGCACCTTTATCTCCACTTTGTGTGTTTTCTCTATTTCCTGGTCTTAGGCCATCCTTATTTTGACCTAACTCCTTCAGGGCAGTAGAGTGTATCTGTGTTAGCCTGGGTTCTTAAAGAAACCAAGTAGAAGACATTATTGAAGGAAGGATCTTTAAGGGGATGGAGAGAAAGTCCCATGGAGGCTGAGAGAGAGAGAGAGAGAGAGAGAGAGAGAGAGAGAGAGAGAGAGAGAGAGAGAGGTGGCCACACAGGGGTGATCTTGGGTGCCTGAAAGAAGACAGGGTAAGATAGGGAAGAAGAGGAGAGGAAGGACAGCCACAGGGAGTCCTTGAGAATAGCTTGTGGAAAGAACAGGCTCGTGTGCACGTGGTGATGGATGTTAGTTGTAGAGAGCTGCTGAGTGCTGGGGAGGTCTGAGCGTCCCCCTCCCCTGGCTCTCACATTACCTTTATTTGCTTCTGATGAAAGCATGCATGAGAGGTGCACTTGTCAGCATTTCATGACTGTAGCACAATACTGTGATGATAAACTTATAAAGGGGAAGATTTCCTTTTGCTCAAGATTTTACTGACTTCTGTTGTGGTAGGGTAGTTCCGTTGTTTTTGGGCTTGAGGTGGGCAGCGTGTCCTGGGAGTGGGGAGTGGCTAGTGAGGCAAAGCAGCTTAACTCAGAACAGATACTGGGAGGGAAAAGGGTCACGCCCCCAGTGACCTACCTTCTCCCCTCTAGGTCCCCGCCCTCTTCAGTGGTGCTGACAGAGGACCGAGCCAATGTCCCAGATCTAGATCACAGCAAGAGATAATCATACTCATGCCTTGGAGCTGCTCATTATAAATGTGACTGGAAAGTATAGTAAATATTTAATTTAAAAAATTAGTACAGTAAACACACATGACCACCAATCCCCCTTGAAATATTTCCACTTGCTTTAAACATAAGAATCTCCACATTCTTGCCACTTTGTGGAGCACTTTTGGAAGTCTTGCTTTGTGAGTGTTTTTAGTTGCATTGTCATGGCTGCCTTGAGGTCCTGAACTGACTCAAAATGCATACCTTTCGTTGTCATTTTGACTTTGCAAAAGGGCCAGAAATCACACCATGCCAGATCCAAAGAATAAGGTGAATGACACACTGCTACGTTTTTATTTACCAGAAATTGCTGTAAGCATTTTTT